GCCAGGAGGGGCAGCAATGGGGGGGTCAGGGAGAGCTGGGGAAACAGGCAGGTGATGGGGCCAGGCAGGGGTCCCTCCATGGTCTCCATCCCCCTCCTCCAGTCTCCCCTCCATGCCCCCTACTTATTGGCACGGAGTCCAGGTCCAGCTCCCTGCTGCAGCGGGTGGGGACTGGCCGAATCACCAAAGCTCTCTGAATCTTTTCCAAATCTATTCAGAGAACTTCAAATCATGGATCTAGACAAATCTCCCAAAAGCATTACAGACAGAAGCACGAGGAACACCAACCTACCTACTGTTAATGCCAACCTAGTAAAGGGACACTTGGAGGGGTTGGATGTGTTTAAGTGTGTGGGACTGGACAAGTTCCATCCAAGGGTACTGAAAGAATTAGCCAGTTTCATAGCAGAGCCACTGGCACAGCTGTTTGAGCAGTCGTGGTGCTCAGGTGAGGTCCCAGAGGACTGAAAAAGGGCCAATGTGGTTCCTATTTTCAAGAAGGGGAGTGTAACGGGGGCTCAGGCAAGAGCCCCATTACTAAGAGAGCCCTGGGAGCAGGTAACTAGAAAAATGCCTCGCACAGGTGGAGGGGATGACTCACCAGGGGATGTTCGGGGTAATTAGCCCACTGTGGCTGGTATAAACTGGGTGGCAAGCAAACACGCTTTGCCTTCAGGCACAGAGGACAAAGGATGATCCACAAGGGGAGAAGAGGAGGCAGAAAGAGAGAGACTCTGGCTGGCTGCCTCAGATAGTGTCTGGGACTATGATGTACAGAGGGACGGCTTGCCCCAAGCAGGTGAAGTACTTAACCGAAGATCCGTGACTGATCCAGTGAGTCTGGGGAAGAGCTGGGGAATTGCCGCCCAGGAGAACTCAGAGGGAGAGTGATCTGGGGCTGGCACACAAGCAGCAAAAGCAGCTAGAAGCTATCCGCCCCTCTGGGCAATGATGGGCAGTGTTGGGACTCACCCTCAGCCGGGAGGGAGCAGCAAAGGCAGCTCCCAGTTTGGGGCCCATGGAGGTGCGGGGAATGCACCCCACTAGTGAATCAATTAGCGGAGAACAATCCGTAGATACTGTGTAGCCTGGGATACCCAGAACGCTTGGGACTGCCACACTTCCTTATCAGCTAAGCCATTGTTCCCTCGCTAATGAAGTAATTAGTGAGGAAAATGCAACACTGTAACATCAAGCAGAGGAATAAACTTGCACTGTGTGAGCTCATCACCTGGGTTCTTTGGTGTTTCCTCACTCTATATCTAACACTGAACATATTTTCTCTTTTGATCCAAGTCGTGGCAGGCGGGTTCAGAGGGAGAGCGAACTAGGCCAACCTTCCCCTCCCACAGGGAAGAACAAGGATCCGGGTAACCATAGATCAGTTAGTCTCACGTCCATCCTTGGGAAAACCCTTGAAAAAATTATCAAGGATCACATGTAGGAGTCCACCAGGTAATATAATGCTGAAAGGCAACAAGCACGGGTTCATAGTAGGTAGATCCTGCCTGACTAACCTTGTTTCTTTCTATGACCAGGACACTAAATACTTAGATGCAGAAGTCAAGGTAGTTGTCATCTACTTGGACTTTAAGAAGGCCTTTGACATGGTATCCCATCCTGTTCTCATAAACAAATTGAATCGCTGTGCCATAGATGATTACACAGTCATATGGGTAGCAAATTGGCTTAAGGGTCATACCCAGAGAGTGGTGGTGGGTGAGTAGGTATTGACCTGGAAAGATGTCGGCAATGGGGTCACCCAAGGCTCGGTCCTTGGGCTGATGCTGTTCAATATCTTCATCAGCGACCTGGATGAGGGCATGGAAAGCATTCTGTCCAAAGTTACAGATGACACAAAACTATGGGGCGAAGTAAACACACTGATGGGAAGAAACCAAATCCTGAGAACCTGGACAGGTTAGAGAAGTGGGCAGAGAACAACAGGATGCAGTTCAACGAAGACAAGTGCAAGGTGCTGCACTTAGGGAAAGGGAATCACCAGCACACCTATAGGCTGTGGGATGACCTTCTCAGCAGCACTGCAGTGGAAAGAGATCTCAGAGTCATTGTTGACTCCAAGATGAATATGAGTCATCAGTGTGACGAAGCAATTAGCAGAGCTAATTGCACTTTGTCATGCATTAGTAGGTGCATCACAAACAGGTCCAGGGAAGTGATGTTTCCCTTCTATGCAGCACAGGTCAGGCCGCAGCTGGATTAATGTGTCCAGTTCTGGGTGCTGCAATTCAAGAGGGATGTGGACAACCTTGAGAAGGTCCAGAGGAGGGCCACTTGTATGGTTAGAGGCCTGCATGGAAGGCCCTATGAGGAAAGGCTAAGGGACCTGGACCTTTTCAGCCTCAGCAAGAGAAGGCTGAAGGGGGATCTTGTGGCGGTATACAAATTCACCAGGGGGTGCAGCAGGGACTAGGAGATGCTCTGTTTACCAGGGCATCCCTTGGAATAAACAAGAACAACAGCCACAAGCTGATAGAGAGTAGATTTAGGTTGGATGTCAGAAAGAACTTCTTCACAGTTAGGGTTGCCAGAATCTGGAATGGGCTTCCAAGGGAGGTGGTGCTCTCTCCTACCTTGGGGGTCTTCAAGAAGAGACTGGACAAGCACCTGGCTGGAGTCGTATGACCCCAGCACTTTTTCCTGCCACGGGCAGGGGGTCGGACTCAATGATCCATTGAGGTCCCTTCCAACCTAGCATCTATGAATCTATGAATCTCAGAGATCACTAAATGCAAAACTTGGGAAGAGGTGGCAAAGCTGTAGATCCAGGTTTGCCTGGAGCTTTGGTTACAGCAGCAGAGCTCTGTAGTTGTTACACAAAATAAAGCAGTAATGTAACTGGGAGAGGGTGATGGGAGTGGTGTGAATGTGGGTACCAGTCCGGGGTACTCCTTTCAGAAAGGCAGTCCCCAGAGAGCCTGTTCCATTGCTACTGCAGCAGCCCCTGTTCAGGGAGTTTGAACTGAGGCAGCAGCAGCTTGTGTTGCAGGTACAACTGGGGCAGCCTCTGTGCAGGGAAGTAAGCACCCACTTCTCCCTCCAGCTTCTCTCCTCCCATCTCCCCATCTCCCATCCTCCCTGCTGCCCAGGATGCCAACATTTAAAGTTATACCTCTGAGATAACTTATTGCCAGGGGTTGGGGTCAGGCTGGCTGTGGCCTTCAGCATGTCATGCAACCGGTGTGCACAAAGTCTCAGCTATACCAATACATTAAGCTCTGCAGTTTAAAATCTCCATTTTTTAATCCATGGCTGGTGAGTTTAGCCTTTCCTTGACCTCATTTTCCCTGAGATGCATTCACATTGCTCATAAAGGTGCTCAGAAGGGTGATGATAGGTTCTACAAGATGAACCATTGCTTCCTGACTCTTCACAAAGCTTGCAAAACTCTATTTTTCTGAGTAGTCATTCCTTTATCACTGACATTCATGTTGTCCTTCAGTGTGAGAGTTTCCCAAATATGGACTCAGCTACTTCCTGACCAAAATAGACTGTGTGATACAATGCAGCATAGTACAGAGGTAACCTTAATCCAGTGTCATTGTCCAGAGACAGAAACCTTTTCATGGCAGCTTAGTGTCAGGTTTACTGTTAACTATTTCCCATTTTGACACCCCTCCCCACCCTCTCCCTACATGCTTAACCATGCTGCTGAACAGCCCCAGACTAAACAAGGTTTCATTAAAAAATATTAGCTTGCTGGTCTTTTTCTAAACATAAGTGCATATTGAAATTCAGCTTGGTTATGTGCATTGTAATTAGAAGTGAGTATTTGTTTTTCAGTAGCACCGACAAGCCCCAGCTCTGGACCAGAATCACACTGTATAAATGCAGAACAAACATGACCTGCACCCTAAAGAACTTAGAAGAGTGGTGCTGTGGCTCAGAGGCATGTGTCGCTCACCAGACCCTCCAATATTGCTGACATACCCTACCTCAGGCAGGCAGTCGATGATAACATCATTTGTTGTGTCAGAAATTTCTCAGTGGGGCAGACCAGAATGGCTTGAATTAGGGAGAAAAGGTCTCCCCATTGCTGTGGTTTATCTTTGTAGGGGCAGGCTCCCGGTGCTTCTCCTCTCACTTGGAGAGGGTACGCTGCACTGGGACTAATAGTTTCTTTTCACAGCTGCAGTTAGAGTGCTGGACTCAGAACCCACTTAAGACATGAAGATGTGGAAGTTATCAGTCAGTCTCAATGCTAAAAGGTAAAAGCAAAAATAATCCCAGAAACTCCTGTGTATAAAGGGTCAGTCTTCTTCCTGGGGTTAATTTGAAGCCATTGGGTTGCTCACAACATGCCAAGCCTAAGCAACCAAGAGGTCTAGTTATTGTTCCCCTTTATGTACCGTCCTTTCTGTTATTTTCATGTTTATAGTCCTGACTTAAAGCTGTTCAAGGAACTTTCTACTTTAGGGGCCCCTTGAACAAAGTTGGTTCTAGGTCAGTGCTGTTCAGCTGGTGGCATGTAGGTTGCATGCCTTCCACAGGCGGTTAAATTGCAGCCTCTAGCCAGGGGCAGATTAATGCAACTGTCCATGAGGCCTAAGCCCAGGGGTCTCTGCCAATCAGAAACCCCCTTTGGGAGCCAGGGTCAGTACAGTCCAGGAGGGCAGCCTGGCCATGGGCATCCAGGGTGGGCAGTGTGTGCCTCCTCCTGGCCAGGGGCTAGGGACAGGCATGCAGCTCTCTGAAGATAGCAGTGGATTCCTGGGGCCATCTGCAGCCAGGAGGCTCCATGGGCAGCCTTGATCCCGTTCCCACTCTCCACCATCTGCGCATGGCCATTGGCACCAGAGCTGCTGGGACAGCCAGGATGGAAGAGCCCCACCACCTGGGCTGGCATAGGGGCCAGCAAAGGGATGGGCAGATGGGCAGCCAGGGGCAGAGCTCATGCCCCATCCACCAAGCCAGTCCCAGTCCCAGCCCATTCCAGGGCACTGGGGGACCACAGCACCAACTGTGTGACACCCACCAGGAGAGGGGCCAGGCTGGGGCTGGGGTTTCCTTTACCTCTGCAGTGCTCATGCCCCCTGACTCAACCCAGATGTGCTGAGGAGGCCAGGTGGGCCCAGCCACAGCCCCCTGGTAGGTGCAGAGGAAACCTGCCCTCACACGGTGGGGAGCCTCAAATTTTCTGTTTGCCCAGGGCCCCAGTTAATCTTAATCCACTACTGCCTCTAGAGTCTCACCTGGTCAACACACTCCCCAGTAACTCCAGCTGCAACAGCAGCAGCAGCTGGAATTTCCAGGCTTCCCCCTCCCTGCTCCAGCTGCTACTTCTGGCCCTCATCCCAAAGGATGAGGCAGCACAGGGACCTAAAGGTGTCCTGGGCCATGGTTGGGATGGGATGAGGAGCTATTCTGCTTGTGCAGTGCAGGAATGAGGGGGAGGGGTAGCTGTGCAGGTGCGCATTGCAGTGTAGAAGGGTGGGGGAGTTGTGCTTGCATATCTGTGTGGCACAGCAGTAGGTGGCAGCATTGAGGGGTAGTACTTATGTGGGCATGCAGGGCAGTGATGATGTGTGGAGGAGTGTCAATGCAGCACTTCTGGTCTCTGCTGGTGTGGCCCCTGGGGCTTAGAAAATGGCCAGGCCTATTCCAGGTCACTTCCATCCTCACTTCCAGAAAAAGAGTGCAATAGCTGAAGCAAAATGAGCAGTGATGCACATGATCCTCAGCTGAGAATGTGCTCCCTTTGGGACCCCTGCAGCCATCACAATGTGTAACAGAAGAGAAGGGACAGAGGCTTGCAACTTCTCTTCATCTGTATCAGGTAGCAAAGCTCAACTGAAGGCTTGAACCCCTAATATTTGATTTGCTGCTAGTGAATGTGATTTAATTAACATTGCTTCTGTATATGGCACTTGTATAGTAGTTTTCATATTTATAGCATAGTACAGAATAGTATGAGTGTTACTCTTTGCAGCAGCTTATGAACTATGTCCTAAAGTGTCATTGCATCCATTTTACAGCTGGAGATATTAAAAAGCAGAGAAGGTAGTTGAGAATCTCAATTATACACAGGGAATTGGTTTCAGAGCTAGGTTTGGAACTCAGGAGTCATTTACTTCTGTTCTTGTTCTAAGACTATCAGACCAAAAGTCTCCCCCTGTGTGAATATTATGGCCTACCAGTGTATAGTGTTAGTAAGTGAGGGGTGTCAGAGATGCTATGGCAAGAAATACTCTGGGGACTTACCTGTTTATTGAGATATATGTAAGTTAGTTGGTTACATAGTGTGCCTCTCAACTATATATTGTATACTATTATGGGTAGCTTTTGTGCAGAGCAGAGCTAGGCATGTTTGGCCAGGCACCCCAAGCTGACCACTTTTACTTTTGCTGCTGGCTTTAGCTAAGGACTCACTCTTCAGGGTCATCACCTTTGCTGCAGTGGAGTTAAGTCCATAGCACCTCCACCCTGGGGTTGAAAGAGATGCAGAAGAAACAGTTAAACAAATAAACTGTCACTTAACTTTCCACTGGTTTTATGCCTCCTGCTTGCTAGGCTTCTCCCAGGCTTCACTTGCTTTGTAGCCTCTTATCTTTCAGAGGCTTTGAGGGCCTGCAGGGCTCAGATAAACAAAAGAAAAGCCTTGCTCACAGCCCCTCCCTGGAGCTACAAGACCTTGGCTAACCCCAGGCTCCAGACAGCCTTGCTCTCTGCAGGTGCAGTCCCCTGAGGCTGCTTTCAGTGTTACTTTATTCCCCCGCCCCCTCCCCGGCTGGTTCACATAGATTTCATAGATTCATAGACATTAGGGCTGGAAGGGACCTCATAAGATCATTGGGTCCAGCCCCCTGCCCCATGGGCAGGAAGTCAACTGGGGTCAAAGGATCCCAGCAAGATAAACATCCAAATATTTCTTAAAGGTGTCCAGAGTAGGTGCTTGCACCACTTCTGCAGGGGAGTCTGTTCCAGGACTTTGAGGGGCTCGGACAGTAAAGAAGTTTTTCTTTATGTCTAGCCTAAAATGACCGTTTGTGACCACTGGACCTCGTCTTCCCTTGGGGTTCCCCGGTGAACAGGCTCTCTCCCCAATCCTGATGCACCCCCGTCATGTACTTATAGGTTGCCACCAGGTCACCCCTGAGTCCTGGTTTGGGTCTGTGGCCTTTTCCTGATCCTAATTTAAAAAGTTGCTGTGAGGAATCAGCTCAGCTGAAGGGATCACACAGGCCTGGAAGCATCCGTATGACTCGGGCTTCGGTGCATCCTTTCCACATCCTGCGTCTGAGGAAAAGCATCCTGCTCTGAGCAACTGGTCTGCCCATCTCCCTGTGCCAGGCATTGTCCGAGCAGCCCTCACCGTAACACTGAGCACAGCCTGTGCCCAGGGAGGATCTTGGCGCAGCCCCCGAAGCAGGCACAGAGCTGGGGGATGGCGCGAAAACCCTACCGGCGCCAGGAATGTGTCTGGCTCTGCACAGCTCGTGCTTGCCCGCATCCCAAAGTGGGATGTGGGGCCAGCCCTGCCCTGAGCCCCAGCAGCTCCCCCAGGCTCGGCCCTCATGTGCTGCTGGGCCCTGCACGCACCCACCCACGAGGCCGTATTGCTTCTGGTAGAAGCACAGCCAGCGGCGCAGCGCGGTTGTGTCCCATGGGGGCAGTCCCAACACGTCGTCCACCAGCCCCCACACTCCCATCACAAAGGCCTGGAACACGTCTCTGCATGCCAGGCTGCTGTAGGCACCGCCTGGCCCATAGTGCTTGCAGCCACAGTGCACATCGAAGACCTGCCCCAGCATGGCCAGGTAGAGGCCAGGAAAGCCCTCAGTGCCCGTGTACCGTGCCAGCTCAGCGGCGCTCAGCAGGCAGCTGCCCGCAGGCTCTCACCCACGACCCAGAAGCCACGCGGCCACCAGGCCTAGCAGCCAGGCAGCGGTGGCCCTCAGCATCATGACTGGCCCTCCTTCATTCCTCACACCTGAGTTAACTTCTTTGCTGGGAGGTTCAGTGTGTCCCCTGACCTGGGTCCTCAGCCTCTGGGGTAGGTGTAGAGCAGGGTCAGGCAATTATTTCGGGCAGAGGGTTACTTACTGAGTTTTGGCAAGCCATGAAGGGCTGCATGACAGGCAACCAGGGGCAGATAAATATTAATTTTCTAATTTTTTTAGGGGCCCTGAGGGCTAAATAAAATGGCCTGGCGGGCCACATGTGGCCTGCGGGATGCATTTTGCCCACCCCTGGTGTAGAGGAATGCTTTCAGGGTGTGGGGCCATTTGGGCTACTCTACACCCATAGTAATAGGGCCAGGCCCTATTACAATATACATAATAATGTTCTGAATATGTGGGTCCATGTCTACTTCCTTCATTGCTACCTGGGACATAGTGAAAGCTGAATGAGGCATCTAGCTGAGGAGAAAGGCCAGAACCATAACAACCTTAGTTTTCCTTACTTGAGTTTCTGCCCTTAGGGTACAGTTTCATTGAAACAAGTCAGTTTTTGCCACATAAGGAGACAAGGAGATCACAAGTACCACTTCTTTTATTTGACTCTGCTTTGCTAGCATCATGGATGACAATTTTGAGCCTCATCCAAAGCCCATCAGTCAGAGACTGCCAATGCAATCTTTAGATTTTAGTGCCAAGGACTTGGATGTCCTGACCTGGAAGCATCTACCAGCTTCTGGGTAATGCAATGCAACACATTTCCATAGTTAGTTTTTCCTGGCTAACATCTTGTAGCATATGGAGGGGGTGGGGGGGTGTTGGCTGGCTGAACAATAATGTTTTCAGTCTAGGCTTATAAATATCTTAGTACAGCTACATGAGACAGCTCACTTCAGCCACATCTACCTACCAGGCCTAACTTACACTAGTGCTGTTACAACAGATGGTGTTGTTCATGATCAAGGTATCCAGGTTGTAGCCATATTGATCTAGAGGCAAAAGGATTCAGAATTTGTGGTGGAGGTGATATCTCCTATTACACCAACTAGGTTTTTTCAAAAAAAAACTCTCTAAAGAATTTTTTTTTGCAAAAATCTAGTTGGTTTAATAAAAGATATCACCTCTACCATGAGTTGTGGTTCATGATCAATTCATGGCTGTGCAGATGTTGTCACCATCAGAGCTTTGACTTCTTTGACCATGGGATATTTTCTAAGAAGAAGGATTGCTAGAAAGAAATAGGATCCACCTGATGAAGAAAAGGAAAAGTATCTTCATAGACAGGCTCGCTAACCTAGTGAGGAGGGCTTTAAATTAGGTCTGCTAAGGAATGGAGGCCAAAGCCCTGATGTAAGTGAGGAAGTGGGTGACCTAGAGGAAGTGCAAGCAGGAGTGGGCAATAGCAGAAGCCTTCTAATTCTTTCTAAGGAAGTAGGGCAATTGGCTAGTTACCTCAGGTGCCTGTACATGAATGCATGGAGCCTAGGAAACAAACAGGAAGAATTGGATGTTCTTGCACAGTCACAGACCTATGACATGATTGGAATAACAGAGACTTGGTGGGAGCTCATGTGACTGGAGCACTGTCATGGATGGGTACAAACTGTTCAGGAAAGACAGGCCAGGGAAAAGAGGAGGATGAGGAGTTGAACTTTATGTAAAATTCCTGTATGATTGCTCAGCAGTCCAGTATGAAACTGGAGAGAGGCTTATTGAAAGTCTCTGGGTTAGGGTCAGAGGGGAGAGCAACAAGGGTGATGTTGTGGTGGGGGTCTACTATAGACCACCAGACCAGGAGGATGAGGTGGATGAGGCTTTCTTTAAATAGCTAATGGAAGTTTTTTGATCACAGGCCCTGGTTCTCATGGGGGACTTCAGTTACCCTGACATCTTGCGAGGGCAATACAGCAGTGCACAGGCAATGCAGGACATTTTTGGAGAGTGTTAGGGACAAATTCCTGGTGCAAGTGTTAGAGAGGCCAAGTAGGGGCCATGGTTTTCTTGACCTGCTGCTCACAAACAGGGAAGAATTGTTGGGGAATGTATTGTTGTGGATGGCAACTTGGGCAGCAGTGACCACAAGGTGATCAAGT